ACTTGTTTTATTTTTTTTTTTTCTTAAAAAAAAGTGTAACGCAATCAAGTGATGCCTACAGTGAAGTACCATCAGTGGCTACATTCTCAATAGTTCCTAAAACTTTTGAATATGTTTATTTAGCATTTTAATCACGATAAATATTTTAATTCATGTTACCGTACTAAAATTGAACCATAAGAAAATATAATATAAACATTGCTAAAAACAAATATATTTAAACTAAACCACTAATATCAATTAAAAAAAATTCATACCCTTATGAGGGTTTTTTTTTTCACTTTTTATATTTTAAATTTTCATGGTGTGGAAAATTTTGGAATATAATGTGTGAATCAGGTTGTGTCCCTTGACTTTGGGCAATAGCAAAATTATTAGCTTAACCAATCTTCACCTGTCAATGAGACTAACTAGGAAGAGAGACGTTAACATCAAAATAATAATAATAAATACAACAAAATAAAATAAAAGAGATATGGGTAAGTTGCTCCAAAGATGTGGTTCTCATAAATAAATGCATTCATCGTTTTTTTCCCCTTTTTAAGACGTTTTCAAAATTTTAGCCAAAGTTTTAGCAACTAGTTTCTAAAATTTTTTTTAATTGAATAATAACATCACTACAATAACATTTGATCAGTCCATTGAATAAGAGTAACAAAATTCTTCCTTTTCTACTGAAAACGTATTATAAAACAAACTCATTGCAACTATTAAAAAAAAAAAGAACCTTTATTGTGGCCATATTCCTCATTAGTTGTTTATTTCCTTTTACAACATTACTAATTCTCCCAGCCTGAATCTATTTATTTTTAATAGTAAATATTGTTCTGACTTTTCTATAAATCCATCCAATTATCTTTGGTCCCAATTTGGATGGATAAGGAATTGGTCTTATATTTATGGTTCAAATAAAAGATGTTTGGCAAATTGAAGATGTCTAACCAAAAAATATTGTTGAAATTTTTTTTATAATATAATTTATTGAAATATACAACCATATAGTATAAGAAATAAAAACGATAGAAAAGTAGTCTGCCCATTTTTCTAGAATTAAATTGATATTTTTATTACTATATTGACCAATAAATTAATAAGTTGAATTTAATTAAAAAAAAGTCCAAAAAATCAGCTTTATTTTATATCGCCAACAATTATTGATGAATGCCTGCAAGCATGTGGGCAAGCTGTATAAATAGATCTGAAATAACCTTGATTGTTAACAAAAGTCAACTGATCAAACGGCTAGGTTTTAACCTTCGGGATTCAAATGTGAATGAATATTTTAAATTAAAATAAGATTAAAATATTATTTTAGTCTATGTACTTGGTTCATTAACATGAGAAAGTAAGATAATATTTTTTTAAAGTTTACAGACTAAAATAAATATTTAAAAAAGTAATCGAATCAAAATGAATATTTTAAAAGTATATAAATTAAAATGAACATTTTAAAAGTACAAAAACCACTAAATTAAATTTTAGGGGAGTTGAGTCCCGGTTGGTAAGCTGCCTCCTCATAAATTCCAAGTCTAGAAAATCTTCGAGCAGCCTCTTGGGAAGATCTCGAGTTTGGACTCATGATTTCATTTAGTTATTGACTTTTTAGTATTCTAATTTCTCTTTTCTACGTCTGAATTAGGTTTCATTCATTATTGGTCGTTGGATAGCGATTTTAGTCCATACATCTTTTTTCCTTTTTATATTAAAAAAATTGATTTCTATACTTTTAAAACATTAATTTTCAACTTTCAAGTCTCTGTTAAATTGAAACTCATTTTCCTTTCTAGTTTCAATTTTTATAACAAAGATTTATTCTAATATCTTAAATATGTTAAAAGACAACATCTCTACTACGTGAAATTTTAAGGATTAAACTGAAATCAAAATAGGATAAAATTTATTGTAAGTTTAATAAATTTTGAATTTTGAAGGATTCCAATTAAAGATTTGGTATAAAGATTGTTTTATAATTAATGGAATAGAATAATATGGTGAACAACCTATTATTTCTGCCAAACTCTAGAAAAAAATAACACGAGACTTATATTTTGTCGCCTAGTCTGCCTCCTGGCCATTTCCACCTCTCTTCCAAAAATGTGCACAAAAGAAAAGTTTCACATTAAATGAATCTAGACAAAGTTTATGTTGTTGCTTTTCTTTTTCTACGAGAAATTAATCATGTTGTTGGACTTTGGAAACTTTTAATTGTTTAATATATTCTCTAACAATCTTTTTCTATATACATGGTTCATGTATAATAATACCAAACTATAAATTTATTATATTTTACCTAGGATTGGTTCTCCAACCTTAAATGCGTTATTTTTTTTGTTTAAACTGAGTCTTTTTCGTTAGAAAATGTTAAGATTCTAACGTTAAGATATGATGATGTGCATGCTAAAATAGTAGCATTATTAACAAGTCTATTAGTATGAACATGGTTCAATTGAAACTAATTAAGACATATATCTTCAACCAAAAAGTCAGAGATTTGAATTCTCCACCCTCGACCTCATTTCGTTGAATTAGAAAAAAGTAGTGTCATTAACCCATRTTTAATGAATAAAATGGTTAATTAAAATTTGGAGGCAGGTTCATAGAGAAGTACGGAACTCATATAATCGTGGGGCTAAGCATAGGTGGGCACGACGTGGTTCTGGTAAGGCAAGATAAGTCCTCTCCTTTGGAACCCTCGGAGCTTAAAAGCCACTTGGAAGAGCTGGGAGATCAGCTTTTCACCGGCGCCTGCACTTTCAATCCCAAAGACCATCACAAAATTAAGGTACTTATTCTAATTCCCGGGATTTCGTCTTAAATGTATATTTGAATTTTACACAATAATAAACTATAAAAGCACTCGAGTTTAATTTGTGTAGCTTTTATAACTTTCTAAAACAAGGTCCCTAAGGAATAGCTTGGGTGGCTTTAGACCTCAAAGAATATCTTCGAAGTCTTGAATTTAAGTCATATGGGACACAACTTTTACCAAACAATCTTGCGTATGTATGGATATGGGGATAACTGCGCATACCCTCTAGGTAGTTCGGCAAGTTAAGTTTACAAAGCTTTTTTTTTTATGTAGGCACCACAGGCCTTCAACTTGTTTGACCCCCAACTTGTGGCTTTTGGCAGCTCCTCCACTGTCAGTGCAAAAGACGTAAGTTCAAGAGAACAAACCTAGGGTTGTGTATAAATATTTTAATTTGTGGCATTTCTGAGATTGGTTTTTTGGTAATTGGTTTTGTGGTAGGGAATAATAGTGATTACTTCAAAGAGAGGAGGGAGTGCAGCAGCAAGTAGCCATTGCGAATGGCTCCCGACAGTGCACGACTCGCCCGATGCGATTCATTTCCAGTTCATTCCCATCGTCTCTCTTCTCGAAGGCGTTCCTGGAAAAGGCTTCCTTTCCCATGCAATTAACCTATACCTCCGATGTACGTATGCTGATGTTTTGTTTTGTTTGGAGAATAATATGATGATGATTTACAAACATATATATGTATTGGTGTTTGTGTTTGTGTAGACAAGCCTCCTATAGCAGATTTGCAATACTTTTTGGACTTCCAAGTGCACAAGATTTGGGCACCCATTCACAATGACCTTCCTTTGGGACCAACTCCCAACATTACCAACTCTCCTTCTCTCCAACTCAACTTGATGGGTCCTAAGTTGTATGTAAATACTACTAAGGTAACAAAAAAAAAATCAGTACCTTATTTCATATATAAATAAGCTGGGAAAAGATCAAATCTTCGTAACCTCGTATCCATTAGGAGTTGGAAAAGTCATAAATTTATAGTAATTACAAACAAATGTCTTTATTATTGATAAGAAACATTTAGATAAAATAATCTAAAAGCAAATTCTTTGGAATGTTGGAGTTTAAAAATGAACAATATTGTACTAGTATAGCGATAACGAAGGTGTCTAGCATTAAGGTAACTTTAAATGAATGTGCTAGAAAAGATGAAGGTTAGAATTTTTTTTTAATGAATTTTGCAGGTTACAGCTGAGAACAAACCGGTGACAGGGATGAGATTGTACCTAGAGGGCATCAAATCAAACAGGTAACATTTTCTAATACCATAATAAGTTACAAGTAATTGATTTTTATCAAATTTTTTGGATTTTACAATCTACATATTGGAAGCTTTAGTAATCAAAAAGGAACTTTTATATAAAAATGATGGCAAGACCCATCTTAATGCAAAAATTTAGGTGTCAAAATAAGATTTAAACAAAAAAAATAATAATAATAAGTAGATTCAAAATTGAGAAAATTAACATCAAGAGAGAAATATAAAAAGTTTAAATCTTACTTGAATCAGGAATATAACGGAGCATTACTTATCGAGTGTTTGAAAATGAAGTAAAAAAAAGTCTTATTGTAATTATTTGAATCTCTAAATATTTACCAAAATAGTCATCAAAGTAGTTTACAACAAAAATAGAATTTAAAATTAACTTTTTGGCAAAACATCTTTGCAGGTTGGCCATTCACATCCAACATCTTGTAACAACTCCTCTGCTCCTCCGAAACAACATTTGTGAACAAATTCCGCCACACCGGCGAGGTTCCGAAGACACCGCCGACGACCGCTACGTCGAACCTCTCAATCGGAACAAATTCTCCTATGTCTCCACAGCTCCGGTCAAATACGATCCCACCTGGGCCGCCGGCGACTCCCCGGCAACCTTCATAGTGACCGGAGCACAGCTCCACGTCACAAAACAAGACTCAAAAAACGTCCTCCATCTCCGCCTCATCTACTCCAAGGTCTCAAACTCCTACCTCGTCCAGACCAACTGGGCCCGCCACTCCTCCGACATCTCCCCCAAGTCCGGCATCTTCTCCGCCATAAGCACCTCCATCTCCGGCGCCATCGCCCTCTCCAAGGAGAAGCCGGAGGCCCCCATGATTGTGGATTCCGGCGTGTTCCACGGTGGCCCGCCAGTGCCACTGCAGGAGCAGAAACTGGTGAAGTTCGTCGACGTGTCGGAAATGCGGAAAGGGCCACAGGACAGCCCCGGGCATTGGGTGGTGATCGGAGCAAGGCTGAATCTGGAGAAAGGGAAGGTCTCTTTGCACGTTAAGTTCGGTTTACTACATGTCGTTTCACAGACTACTAATGAGTCATGACCACTGATTTTGAGAAGCTTGATCCTCTCGCACCCAAATCAAACTCAAATCAAACTTTTAAATTTGTGTCTAATAGATACAAAATTAAAAGTGACAAAGGTCTACTCTTTAATTTTTTTTTCTTTTAATTTTTTGAGATTATAAAAGCTAGTCTTGAATATGTAATTAGTATAATGTAATTAGATTCATAGAAAGGTTTCTTTGTTAGAGACCTGTGTTTATAGAGAGCAGTCAATTTTTTTTTTCTTATTTATATGTCAGATGTATTGTATATGAGAACATGATGTCCATCAATCAGTAAATTCGATATTGAGGTCAGTTCATTGTGTCCTGTCATATATTGTCTTCGTTTATCTTATTTTTGATTTCAGATTTTTAATTAAGATTTTATCATTCCAATTCTGGGTAAGTAAACGAAGGGTCAAGAATTTAAAAACAGTAATCCGGGTTATATGTTCAACCTCAGTCCCAGTACAGATACAAATGACCTGAAATTCTGGATCTCAAGCTTGTTTTAGGGAAAGAATGTTTGAATTCACTGATTAAGTATGAACTCAGCCAGCCAAATTTGTGTTCAAAGATTAATTGGTGAAGAATTTCTCCCTTATGATCTAAATAAGTTTTCCCGAAACACACCCTGGAAAACTCAAGAAATGATCTCTATGCATACCTTCGTCACCATTATAACTAGACCTGCTTCCTTATGCCCTGGATATGAAGAAACATCCTGCACTCCTCGTGGTTTATCAAGCTTTTCCATGAAACCTGAAAACTCGTTGACACAGCCGTAGGTTTACAGGCACACCCAATTTTAGGGAGTGGATGTGTCTGTACAAACCAATTGCATTTGTTACAGGCAAAACAATAGCAGTGGGCAAAGGAACGCCCAGCTTTATATAAACCACGGAGCGAACAAAAGTATTCTTAAAGATACATGTAACATAGCATGATGAATTCACCGGGGCAAAATTCAGCTAGTCTTACGAGCAACCGCCTTATCCTACCATATCCTACCACATTAGGTTGAATTTCAAATCAATAGGTGACCAACTGTAAACCCCTTTATATTTTTACCCAAAATCACCCATCCACTCTCCTGCTGCATTTATCCCCTCCCTCCCTAGAAGTAAACATCCAAACAGAATGTTTCCACAGTTGATGCAAGGAGAAAGCAAGAAACTCAAATTTCTTGTCACTAATGACATAATTTCTTAAGGTAAGACAGTACTCTATCATAAATTATACTTCTTTCACAAGATGGGGGCTGAGATAGATAAGGAACGAATTTTATCCAACTCATCAACAAAAGACACGATTCATTCTTCTTTTTCTCTGTATAAATTCTGTTTAAATCATGAATATATTTATGCCTCATAAAGGAAAGCAAACATTTTATTGTAGACTTGCTGACTTTCACAGTCATCTGAAAAAACAAAAGGTAAAATAACCAACAATAAAAGAAAACTATTTTAAAATAAATACAATTCTCAATGATGGGTAATAATTTCTCAATAATAAGAACCCACAGTGCAGAGGAAAATCATGAATTCTTGAGAAACATAGTTGTGAAACAATCTCTTCCTTCATATCATGTTTTCATCTTAACAACAAAAAACAGTACTTAAATAAGTCAAAAATGAGTAAACAGCCTACCAACTTTAGCATATTGCTAATAATGAAAAAAAACAAGCAGCCATGGTTAAAGTAACAGCTGAGCTGAGCGTATGTAATACAAGTATCAAAATTGTTCCAACCAACAGTACCTTTCCAGCATCCGTAGAAGCAGGTCAATCTAAGCATGATGGTAATGATGTAGCTTGTACAATAAAACCTTTCCAGCAGCATTTCCTACAGCCATATAACCACCTTCAGGACTGAAATCCAAACAGGAAGGGTATTGAAGATTCTTCTTTGGTGGCGGCCAGTTTGAAAATATAGTGAAAGAAGGAATGTGAATCAATTTCAAACTACTCTTCTTCATTCTTGAACAGATGGCCAACATTTGAGTATCATGATTAAATTTGAGAAAATCCACTCTGGTGGTTAGATTCTCAATGGTTTTTAATGGCTTCTTCTTGCCCCCTAAGAATTCTTGTCTGTTGTAGATGTTAACAATGCCACTATCAGAACCAGCTGCAAACAATGATCCATTAGGAGAGGTACAAAGCGCAGTGCCATTGATGCAACCTTCATCGACAGCCTTGTGGATGCATGTTCTCGTTCTCAAATCCCAGTGGTAGACTTGCCCATCACCACCGGAGCTCAATAACTGTCTTCCATCATCAGCAAACGCTAAAGAACGGACGCTTCCATTCATCTTAAGCGTCCCAATGAGCTCCTTTGTTTTTGTTGACACCAACAGGATATAACCTTCATTACCTATGAATGCAACTGTGCTAGAATCAGGAGAAACTTCAAAAACTTCAAGGCTTTTCTCCTCTCTACCAACAAGAGGGCCAATTTTATCTACTTTTGCTTTCACTAGATCAAGGCTATAGAAGAACTTTCTCCTCCCCGCTATAATTACCTGAGACCCATCAGGCAAAAAAGATGCCTTTCGTACAGGGCAGTCTTCAAGAAAAATGCTCTGAATTTTTGTGTTCCGTTTACCGTCAATCTGAAAAAATCTAAGCCTCCGATCCAACCCAGTAGCTAGAAGTAACTGAGCATTGCGATGAAACTGAACTGAATTAATTGGACCATTGGACGGTTCCTCTGCATTTGCATCTACAAGTCTTGAGTACTCAAGAAGACCGGGCAACAATTTAGCACCCCTTTTCACAACAAGATTCTCACTCGTTCGAAGGATATCATCAATAGAATCAACATTCTCATAGCCATCAGCCAATACAACTCCATTTTCATCATCTGAAGATAGAGCATCATCCTCACTGCCACCCTTGGATTGTGAATCGAGTTGAGCCCACTCTGTGCCTGGGTTTAGCTTTGCGTGCTGAGCCCTTAGTCTCGTCACGTACTCCGAACCTGAAATGGAACTCTCATCTTCTTCCTTCCTCAATTTTCTCAGTCTGCTGACATTACTAATATTAACCGTGGCCTTCTCCTCTTCCTCGTCTACCCAAACTGGCTTTCTCTGCTGAGGTTCCTCCTTATTAGTACTCTCGTCTTCGTCTACAAGCCGAAAATCATCTTCATAAGCAGAAAGGGAACTWTTCGCAGAGCGATCCATGATATATAAAGCAGGAGATTTTTCATCAGCGGTGAAACCCTTTTCCTCTTCATCTTTCCCAAATTCAACAGGAGAATAGAGAGATCCAAAAAGAAAATTTTCCAGCTTCTTCATTTCCATTTGTTGTTCAATTACTACTTGTTGATCCTCTTCTTTACGTTCTTTCTTTCTCTTCTTTGCCCTAGTAGTACCTGCACCAGAGTCTTCCACATCACTAGCATTTACATCTCTTTTTGGAATCTTCTCGATGCTTCTGATTGCAGTGACATTTTGAGATAATAAACTCATCTTCCACTAAGCTCCTGCAAAATCAAGAGCTTCGAAAACTTAATCGAAACTGGATCAAAAGTAAAAACATCTCACAGTTTATCGAAAGTGTGGCAGAGAAAGAGAAAAGGCACTATCTATCAAGATCATCGATAAAACATACTGAAAGCAAGAGAGTGGTGGAGCCGGAGAGGGGCGGCGGCCGCGGCGGTGGCACGGAGGGCTGCAGGCGTGGAGAAGAAGGCGGAGCACGTGAGAGCGAGAGGAAGGGGGACCTAGGGTTTCTCTTCCTTTATTTTTATTTTGTTCGATAAAGTGGGCTTTGCTCAAAAAAAAAAAAAGATAAAGTGGGCTGATTTATTGGGCTATGCTATGCCGGATAAATTGGGCTGAATTTTTCTGTAGCCTTTTTCTATTTGTATTATTTAAATAAATATATTTTAATTTAATTATTTTTTAATTGATATTTTGTGGTTCAACAATTATCTTCACTCCAAATATTTATCAATTAACTCAAAGATAAATAGAGGCAAGGTCGTGTCAGAAGGCTTTCTCTTCACTCCATGCACCGTTGATCATAGGCTAGTCTGTCACACCAATTACTGCTCTCTTTCTTTAATTTCTTTTGCTCTGGCTTCTATCCTTATTAAAAATAAGAAGTTACGAAATAGTGCTTAAGCTATGTTTGTATTATCATTTCAATTTAATTATTAACCATTAATCTAAAAGAATGATTAATAAATGTTTAATGAGAAATATATATTTGAATTGAAAAAATATATGAAAAGGTTAGTTATTAGTGCGAGGATATGCAACCAACTCAAACATCCTTTTGATTTTGTATTACGTTAATCATTTATTTTAACACTTAATATTAATTGTTAATTTAACCTGAATGTTTAACAAATCTTTATTGGATAAACATGGTTGACGTTTGTTACGTGATCCATCCTCTCTGCTTGCCCGACTGGAATCCGTCATTTATTTAGCGAAGCCTTTTATGGGGTCACTCGCTTCTTCAATTGGGTTCTAGGTGTCGTGTTGATAATACGGTGAATCTATCCCGATTTATAATGCGAATTTGATACCTCAATATGCTGCTCTCTAGGTTCAGTCCACGCACCGCCTGCCACCCGGGACGTGGGTTTGCAACTTACTTACATATTTGGGCGGTTGGAACGAACGATTGATTAGGGATCATTTTGATACTAACAAGGCCCAGTTAATTCTAGCTATCCCCTTGGCCTCATCAAGAGGCTCGGATCAACTGATATGGCTTTTTGATAAGTCGAAAATTTTTTCGGTTAAAAGTGGCTATATGGTGGTCCAGCGTCAATTTCTTCACTCTGGTTCCTCTTCTTCTTCCCCTAACGAGTTGATACACTGGTGGAAGGGGGTTTGGAAAATGTGTGTTCCAAGCAAGGTGAAGATTTTCATGTGGCGTCTTTGCCGAGATCGACTTCCTACATGTGCAGCACTTATTCGACAAGGTGTTTTTCTTCCCAATTGTTGTTTGTTATGTGGTTTGCCAGGGGAAGACATCTTTTTTGGTCCTCAGATGTGATTCGGTCCTTTTGGATTCTTCGAAGTTCGCTCCATATCTCCACTGGCGACCTTTGCCGAATATGTTTTTTCTTTTAGCTGATTTAGAAGATGTTGTTTCTCTCACTGATTTTGAGGAGCTCTTAGTTTTCTTGTGGCTATTTGGAATTATCGAAATCGTGTCCGTATGTTGGGTGAACGATCCGTGGTATCACTCGGGAGTTGGGCGTCTGATTATATATATTCATATCGGTCGGCGAATCTTCGGCAGTTTAGGGGGGTGGAACCTCCTCTTTGTGCTCGTCGGTTATGTTGCTGGCAGCCACCTCAGGATGGTTGGTTCAAGGTGAACATGGATGCTGGGTTTCTTGCAGGTTCGCTTCGTGGCGGGATTGGGGTGGCTATTCGGGATGTCGCAAGTCATCTTCTTTTTGTAGCTTCTTCATTGTTGTATTTTGACTTGATTAGGGACAATCTATTATCTTGATGAATGTTATATTACATGTTTGTTGTGCTATTTCTACCTTTCAATGTAATCGTTAAGTTTGGGGATGAAGATTTTTGTCATCTTTTTCATGTTTTTGACTCAGTATGTATCATGACTCATATGTGCTGATTTCTCCTTTTGAAACTGTGAATCTTGATCGATACCCTTAAATACTTTGTAAGTTATGAATGCATCTTGGGATTGATTTCTTATGCATGAAGGAGATAAGCATGATTGATTTTCTTTTATAAATTACATGATGGTATCTCACTGATTTCTTGGTTGAAAAATGCATTTGACTTGATACAATTTACACACCTAAGTGAGCTGTTTGAGCCTATGGGCAACCCCTTATATTTGCTCAATTTATTTTCATTCTTGTGTGTGATCGAACATAGCATGATTATTCTAGAACTTGCCTATAAATGTATTTTATGACCGCTTATTTGGATTGATACTATAATATGACTCTATTTCTTTATTTTCCGATCGCYTGGAAGGGACAAAAGAAACATCTTGTTCTTTCTTCAACAATTTCTGATCTCTAGTGGACCTCTCAATAGGATTCGAACCCAGATGAAGTTCTGACCATCTGTYAGAGAAAAAAGAACGAATGGATCTTGTAGGATTCCCGAGAAATTCTTCGATTTCTTCYGGAAGCGGATGATTATTCATCTGCTTCTCACGTTCCGTGAATAGCCGGGACATTGAGGAATATCCAGAAAAGCATTTAGAAGGGCAATTTAGGCTTACCCAAATTTGATATTTCTAAAAACCCAACCTTTTTACATCTTCCATTAGAAAGCCATATTTGAGCTTAATTTCTCGATTCTTCTTGTTTTACACCCCATATTTAAACCTAAGGCTTCTTTCTCATTCATTATCCTTGCTATTTCTACCATTGTCAAGATAAATGTAACATCATTGCATGTTATCACAATCGTTCTTTCAAGTTATTATGCAAGTTGTGTACTGCTAAAAAAAACTGATGAAAAGAAAAAAAAAATAAGAAAAGTGGTGTTGCCAGGAAAAGAAACACTCCGTTCAGTAATAAAGAGAAGACATTTGGAGAAATATTTTTCACGAAGCAATTAACTGATGCTACTTTTCCAAAGTCGAATGTACTCGAAGATAAGGGTAGATGATTTAAGCGAATAGTAGTACATTGTGTTCATTGTCTTTTGTGATTATCATGCAACTTATCAACTTTGTTATATTGACTTTGAGCCTTTAAATTTAAATTTCCTTTCATCTCACCCTTACCTAAGCCTCATTACAACCATTATCAAAGTTCCTTTGATTTTTACATTCAATGCATCATTAAATGGGGAGATTTAATTCATTTGCAAGCCTGTGGTAATAACATGCTTTTTTTTAGTGTAAAAACACCCTAAAAATGCTTTGAGAGATTTGAGTGAAAATCTGTGAAGGTGTTAAGTCTTTTGCATTTGATTTCAATGAGTTAATGAGATGCTTGAGTTTTTTAAAATTATATCCTACCATTGCTTATCCTCGTGTTTGTCATTTTGATTCATCTCATAGATGTGTGATTGACTTTACTTGTATTATTAGTTATTGAGAAAGATGAAATGAGATTAGAAAGAAGATTTAGTATGTTGAGTTAAGATATATAATTGAGAATAATCATGATTTAGGTGGGGCAGAATTTGATAAGATGAGATTTACACCTTTTACTTTTCTCTATTATGCATGAGATCATTGGATATAATGTAGTTATGTTTGGGGTATTTGATAGCACACTTTCTGAGCTACATTTCATGAGATTTATATTGAAATTATTTGTTAGTTTTAGTTTCTTCATGACAAATTTAAGCACATAAGATGTATTTTGCAGGAATAAAGTATCGAGAGAAACGAGACATATTTGGATCAAAATGAGAGCAAAATCGGAATCAAAGAGACCAAGATGGAAAACAACAAGATTTGAAGCCAAAAACTCGAGGAGATAGCGCCACGGCGCTGGCCTAGAACATCGCAGCACTCCAAAGTTTAAATTTCGCATTTTGTGAATAGTGTAGCATCATGGCGATTTTTTTTATAAAAATAGGGTTTTGTAGCCGCCTAGAAGGAGGAGTTTGGGAGAGGTTCTTTGGAAATTTGCCTTTTTGGCCAATTTGGAGGGCAAGGAAACATAGTCTTTGTCTAAAGAAATGCCTAAAGGGCAGATGTATAGAATGTTTCAACGAGATGGTGCATTTTAACTCTCTCAAAATAGAATCTATTCCAAACATATATATCATGTCTTACTTCGACTGAGTACAAATATCTAAATTTTATATTTTTAGATACTTTTTAGACATATTGCCAATAGTGGCCAAAATTTTGTATCCATTTTTTCATTATATTATGCATGGATCAGATATATCATGACAAATTCTTTAGAGAAAACTGTGTCTTCTACAATGGAATCTGATAAGTGAGATTCCGAGTAAGTGTTTACATAATCTTCTTCTGTCCAAAGAAATGATTCATCGAAATAATGAGTCACCATTGATATCGACATATTTGAGATCGACAAATGTTATATGGAGTTCCTCTATTCAATACTTTTCCTTCTTGTTGTTGTTGTATATCTCTTTCGTACACATCTTCTCTTTGTTTATCGAGCCTATAGTGAGTTACAGACAGAGTTCGAAAAGGTCAAATCTTTGATGATTCCATCATACATGATTGAGTTGCGAAAACTTTTGGATAGGTATCCCACATCTAAACTGAATTTTTTCTGGTTAAAGAATCTTTTTCTAGTTGCTCGGGAACAATTAGGAGATTCTCTAGAAGAAATATGAGGTTTTGCTTCTAGTGGCAACATGCTATGGGGTGGCGCTCCCGCTTATGGGGTCAAATCAATACGTTCGAAGAAGAAAGATTGGAATATCAATCTCATCGATCTCATAAGTATCATACCAAATCCCATCAATCGAATCGCTTTTTCGAGAAATACGAGACATCTAAGTCATACAAGTAAAGAGATATATTCATTGATAAGAAAAAGAAAAAATGTGAACGGTGATTGGATTGATGATAAAAATCCGCATAGTGGCAGATCCAAGAATTTATGTGGAGGGCACAAATGCATAAAAACCTAATGGAAAAAATATCAAGTTTAAACCATAACGTGGGTATGTGTATCAATTTGCACCTTACAATTATATAATGTTATAATTTTTCACCTTAAACTTTAAAATGTATCACAAAATTTACGCGGATAATTCAATCCTTAGAATATTATTAGGTCCATAAAATACCACGACTTTTAGTGTTCTATAATTAACCTCTGAATATTGAGTGCGGTAGTTTACAATTGAAGAAGCAAAATGATTTGTGCAATGTTGGCTTTCCTCCCTTATTAAGTCTTTTTAGAATCAATTCCCATCTTCCGCACATGTCGTTAGTTAATTTTTCCCATTTTTTTAATACTAAAATATGTCTAATTCTTTTTTTAAAAAAAAAGGTTTAGGAATTCAGGGTGTGTTTAGAATGATTCTCGCATAACCAAAATCACTTTTGCATTACTCATGTTTCGCAAATTAAAAAATTGATTTTAAAAATTCTTTAAATTATTTTAAATTGATTTTTAAGATATCATACTGATTTTGTAAAATGAATTATACTTAAATCTCTTTTTTTTTAAATCACTCTCACAGACACATCCTTGGACTTTTTCCTTTTAATTTAAAAATTCATGAGATTTTCATAATGAACTAAAAAAAATGTGCTGGGAAACAAACGAATCTGTTTGAATCAGCTGGGCGGTCAAGTTCTACTTCACTTTCAGTTATAAATGGTGGGCCCCACTCGATGAGAAGAAATTTTGGTCATCTTTCAAAAGGAAAACTTTTTCTGATGATTGGGCACGGTAATTTCCATCTTTGCCCTCCAGTCAATCTCCTTTTTCTTCCTTGGAGCTCACTCATTGCAATATTTTACCTTTTTATTTTTATTCTTTTTTATTCCTATTATTCCCCCTTCCCTTCCAACTTCCAAACACCTTCTTAATTGGAAACTTATGGCTTCTCTTTTAAAATTTTATATATGTGTAAAATAACCTATTTCATAATCACATTTAAAACTTTAAAATTCCAAATACTTTTTTTCATAGTTTTTTCAACCCTACTTTGATCTAATTTCAAGTGAATAGTTCGTCTCTTACTCATGATTATTTAAGTTTAGATCAATTTACAAACTCAAGTAATCTATATGAGTTTAATGCTTGACAAATCAATTTAATCAAACTAATATCTGAACACGCTTTTATATTTATATATGGGAGTTGATAGAAAATATCTCATACATAAATTAAGTATTAAATTTTTTTCACTAAGATGTTTTTAGAACGGACTAAAGATTCCCTATTTTAAAGTTTTTCCATTTAATTTCAAAGACATCTCTCATACTCGTTCTCAATAATTAAATGGTGAAAATTTCCCCACAAACTTAATCTCTACAACTATCTAGATAAGAAGTCACACATTCATCCCTCACTGATGTAAGGAAAATTTTTGTTGCGATAATAAATTGAGTTGCAGAGTATAGATGGAAAAACAATTCCATACCGTCCGTAACCGACTCGTCGTATTAACATCCTAATCTCATAATATGATAATCCATATATTTCAACCAAAAATCGTCATATTCAATTGGTATACATTGCTAACATTAGAAAACAAAATAACTTGAAATGTTGACTAATTGATTCATCAACAACTTTCTCTGTTACTATTTGTGTGCGCATTTGATTATTTTAGTTTTATTTTGAATTCATGACCTATCTATACTAATTATTGTTGATCTCAATTCATATCGGTTATAAATTTGACTTTTAAACTCTAAGCTTTCAAAAATTTCAATTAAGTCACTTAGACTTTCTATAATACTTAAATTTAAGTGGTGTGGTGTGACCATTAGCTAAATAAAAAATAATAGACCAAAGAACATTCTAGAATTTTCAATTAAAAAATAGAAAATGAAAAATAAAAATAAGAACAATCGAGAATGACGCGTCAAAGCTGGAGGAAAACCGTTAATAGGTATCAAAAATAAGATACGCAGCCGCAGCGAATCTTTCCTCGTCAAACTGAAAGAAGTAGACCAAAAGGAAAAATTTTCCAAGTTTTGTCCCTTTTCAAGTCTGGAACTATGGAATCAGAAATATGCATTTAAAATAGATGTCTTCTTTTCTTTTCTTTTTTTTTTTAATATTATCTTTGAATTTCTTTTATATTTTTTATATTTATACAAACTGCCACCAGTGATATTTGGTGTTAACAAAATTGATTCAATTAAAATTTATTGGTTCTGGAGTGGTTTATTTTGAATCCAAATATCTAAAAGGAAAACAAATTCAAAGATTTTTGGGTTTATATTTCTTATTTCAAAAATTTAAAACTTATTTTATTTTTAGTATTATATTTTTAAAAACTAAGCTTATAAATACTATTCTTCCTTGTTTTAAAAACAAAAACGTTTTTAAAATCTAAGACAAAGTTTTAAAAATCACAAAAAGTATTTTTTTTTCTTTTAAATTTAGTGTTGTTGCTATTAAAAATTGTCTAAAATGTCAAATGTGTTTATAAGGGTTAAAGATGGACATATTAATTAACTAGGCAAAGGAGGGTAGGAATTAGGGGTGTTCATGGTTCGATTCGATTTGAGGGTCGAAACCGAAACTAATTTTAAAAAAATCAGAACCAAGCCGAACCGAAGTACATGGCTAAACTGAATAAATCGATTCGGTTTCTTAGGCGGTTTTGCTCATGAAAATTGAAACCGAATCGATTTTTTCAATTATGCTTTTCTGTTTAATCAAATCGAACCGCTAAACCGCCCAACCAAAAATTCGGTTCGCTTTTTCGATTTTATGGTTCCTTTGGTTTCGTTGTGTACCCCTAGTAGGAACAAGGACAAATCCAATTGGATTGAATTCTTGTGAAGAATTTTTTTTCTATTTATTTATCTTTTTAGAAATTTTCTAATCGAACATTAATTCTCCGTGGAGAATATTTATTTAAATGGTTAAATCTGCCCTGGGAATCTCTACTAAAAGGTAAAATTGTTAAATTTCTTAGAGATGTTTCATAATTCATAAAACAACAAATTCTAAAATTTCAATTTCAATTCATATTATGAATACAAATAAGTTCAGAACGTAAATGTGGTATAAAATTCAAAGAGAAATATTTAGATGCCAAAACAATCATAGTTCAACACGGTAATTGATATGTATCTCTAATCGAGAAGTTATGAATTCGATCTTCTACTCCCATTTACTGTACTTAAAAAATACAAATATTTAGATTTAAGATTTAAAAATTATATATAATAATAATAATAAAAAGTAAATGATACAGGATGAGAACATATTCTTTGTCCCCTATTAGATTACGGGAAAAAACTTGATCACCACTCCAAAGAAAAACATAATTAAAAAAACAGAGAAAGAAAAATTGATGACATGGAATATATGGAAAGCCCTTTCTAAAGGGTCCACACACAACGGAGAGTAATTGGTGACTTTAAAAGTTTAGAAATGATGATTAGGAGAGTTTCTATGTAAGTCTTTTTTTTCTTTCTTAGAGTCCTTATGTAAGTTTCTAACCACATTTCCATGTGTGATGTGTTGACGATATTCAACCAAAACCTAAGTACATTATTTTTCCATCTCTAAACGTGTGGGGCCACTCTACGATCTCCCCATCTGGACCCCATTTAAGAAGATTTATAATGTAATAAATAATAGATTAGTGAAGGAAAGAATATAGTTAGTTAAAAAGGTGATGATGCTCTTGACTTTACTATAAACTTTTTTCAGTCTCCTTCCCTATAAATTGCATCTCTTTGCTTCCTAACTTTCCCCCACAGCTTTCATAATCTCATTTCAGTTTACATATATTGCTCTCTTTGCTTCCTTTTTGTTTGCTTTTGGTATTACATTGCTCCCAAGTTTACAGGTACATCAACTCTCTCTCTAGCTATTCCACACCATACTAATTAATATGTGTATTTATTATTTTCATGAAGAAGTTAATTTTTTGTATCTCTCTTTATTTGGACATGATGTGAAGAATAATAAGTTGTTAATGTTAACTACAAATGTACAATATGATTGGTAAATGTTAGGTATTTTTTTATTTATTAATACAAGAAGAAGGATTAATAAATTTCCACTTAAATAACTATTGGATATACAGATTAAAAATCCATTTAATACACAATTTTCTAAAATGAATGGTAAAAGTATCAGTGTATAGATTTTGATCAACATCGAGGAAACACTGATAATGATCAACAAAAAAATGCAGTTGAAAGTTACAAATTTCTGCAGACGCCATGGGGAAGACGATCGAGATTTACGGATTCCGGCGGGACGTCACCGCGGAGGAAGTGAAGGAATTCCTGGAGAATCACACGGGAGACGGAACCGTATCGGCGGTGAGGATCGCGGAATTCAGAGACGAAAATTCCCGGTTCACATTCGCGACGGTCCAGTTCTCGAGCGAGTTGGCGGCGGGGCACGTGGTGTCTCAGGCGGCTGCGGAGGAGCGGCTCTGGTACGGCAGCTCGTACCTGAAGGCCAGGGAAGCGGATCGGCAGAACAGGCGCGGCGGCGTGGGCGTGGAGAGAATGGAGAATTTGACGCTTCACTTGGGGAGCCAGATTTCGAAGGAGAAATTGAGCGTGATTTGGAAAGGGGAAAATTGTAGCGTGGAATTTGGGAGTGGAGTGAGAAAATTGTTTGTGTACGTGAATTTGGAGTACAAGATGGAGGTGTGGTTCGAGAGTATTTTGAGAGTTCAGCTTCGTTGCCCACCCGACGGAGCTTCCAAGTTTCTTCTCATTCAGGTTCGTTCTTTATTTATGATTATGATTCTACACTTTTTCAAGCAAAACTTGACTTTTTAGTCTTTGTTTTTTGTTCTTTTACTTGCTTACCATTGATCAACAAGAAGCTCAAATAATGATATAAATACTTGATTTGATATACTGGATATCATGTATGATTGATATATCTAGTGTAAAATTGGAACAATTAAAAATCATTTTTCCATATTTGCAAAAGTTATTGTTATATTTATAAATATAGCAAATATTTTATCCATTAGTTATATATTTTCTATAATTTAAGATAAACTAAACATAGATAACGCGAACATATCTCAACGGTAATTGACTGACCAGACATAGGTACCTTAACCTTGAGCTATGCTCAACTTTAATAATTAATAATTAGATGTTACTATTTTAAAAAATTTCTAAACTTCTTTTAGAAAATGCTTCCTTTAAAAATTTGGCTAGAATAAAAAGAATATTTTTTATGAAGTATATTAAAAATAATAAACTGCAATCCATTTTTTTTAGGCAATAAATTGCAACCAATTAAGGGTAAAGACTAAGCATTTACATCAATTTTTTTTAATAATTATTTAACAAAAACCAATTATAAATACATTTGTGCTCATATTCACATCTTTTACATTAAATAGCTGATACTTAATAGATGATATGTTGAATCTTAAGATTAAAATTATATTTAGATTTAGGTTAAACTACGAATTTTGTTCCTAAACTGGCATTTGATTTACTTCTAAGTTTAATTTTAAATTTAATTTTGTGATTTTAGCCTAAAATGGACACTTTCTTCTTTTATATTTATATCGATTTGGTTCGAATTGTTTGTTCGTTCGGCAGTTGCAGCGCGCTCCACGGATTTTCAAGAAAAGCTCGTCTTCTTCTTCTTCATCTTCATCTTCATCTTCTTCTCGATTCTATTTCAAGGAATCTCAATCTAGTGGTTCCCGTTGGATTAGGGATGTCGATTTCACTCCATCTTCTTGCATTGGACAATCATTTGCTCTGTGCTTGGAGCTTTCTCCCGGAGATCAGCTTCCTTCTTTCTTCAAAACATTGGTTGGATACGAAGAAATTTATGGCCCCTTCAATTTGGAGACAGGTTCTTCTTTCTCTTCCACTTCAAATCTGGTTCCTATTGTTACTCCACCCCAAGGCTTTGATTTCTCTTTTAAGATTTTGTTCAAAATCAATGCGCTGGTTCAACACGGTTATCTTCCTGGACCATTACTGGACGATGAATTCTTCCGACTGGTCGATCCCAGTCGGTTTCGTCCTGAATACATCGAACGTGCCCTAGAAAAACTATTTAATTTGAAGGAATGTTTCTACGAACCCCAAAAATGGCTCAAGCAGCAATATCTGTCATACTACAACTCTAAGCAGCTTCCATGGAAGCCTGATATCTCTTTGGATGATGGCCTGGTCTATGTGCACAGGGTTCAAATCACACCTTCTAAGGTCTACTTCCGTGGTCCGGAGGCGAATCTTTCCAACCGGGTAGTACGTCAGTACTCTGATGATATTGATAATTTTATTAGGGTATCTTTTGTTGATGAGGAGTTGGATAAAATCCGTTCCATAGATCTGTCGCCGCGTACATCTACTGCAAATGGTGAAAGAACTAGAGTTTATGATAGAATATTATCTACTTTAAGGAATGGTATCGTCATTGGTGACAAGAAATTCGAGTTTCTTGCTTTCTCGGCAAGTCAACTACGGGAAAATTCTGTTTGGATGTTTGCTTCGAGGGAGGGGCTTAGTGCAGCAGATATTAGAGAGTGGATGGGTGATTTTCGTCAGATAAGAAATGTGGCCAAATATGCTGCTCGACTTGGACAATCTTTTGGCTCATCTAGAAAAACTTTGTGTGTTGAAGAACATGAAATTGAAGTCATTACTGATGTAGAAGTTGAAACAAATAACGTCACATATTGTTTCTCTGACGGCATAGGAAAAATATCTGAAACATTGGCTGAGAAGGTTGCTGAAAGATGTGGCTTGATCAATCATACACCATCTGCCTTCCAGATCCGATATGCTGGATACAAAGGCGTTGTTGCTATTGATCCAACATCGGAAAAGAAATTGTCACTAAGAAAGAGTATGTTGAAGTATAAGTCACTTGACACCCAACTAGATGTTTTAGCATGGAGCAAGTATCTGCCCTGTTTTCTTAATCGTCAGGTGATCAACCTTTTGTCCACCCTCGGAATTAAGGACCGTGTTTTTGAGAAGAAACAAAAGGAGGCTATATATCAACTGAATTGTATTTTAAAAGACCCATCAAGGGCATTAGAGGTTTTGGAGTTGATGTCCCCAGGGGAGATGACCAGCGTTCTGAAGGAAATGCTTTTGTATTACAAACCAAACAAAGAGCCTTTTCTTAATATGATGCTACGAACATTTCGGGCAGATAAATTGTTAGACTTGAGGACCAAATCAAGGATATTTGTTCCCAAGGGAAGGACCATGATGGGCTGCCTAGATGAAACCGGGACTCTAAAATATGGTCAGGTGTTTGTGCAATGCTCTGTCCCTGGTAGATCAAGTGAAAGCAATTTCATTCCTGAGGGAAAAGTAGTCGTCGCTAAAAACCCCTGTTTACACCCAGGGGACATGCGTGTACTCAATGCTGTTGATGTGAAAGCTTTGCATCATATGGTGGATTGTGTTGTTTTTCCGCAGAAAGGACAGAGGTAAGCAAGCTTATTGTGTATATGCAGTTGTTCATGTATTCAACACATTTTGCATGTCCATATGTATTGAAAAACTACTTTGGAAATCTTTTACAAAATCATAAGAAATATTCTCACTATGGTTTTGTAGCTTTGGTTTAGTAGCTATGCTGATTAATTATTAGAAATTTATTTTTGGATAGCAATTTTTTATGACTTTTTGCAGTCCTTACCTAATATTTCCTATATGTCATGTTAGACCTCATCCAAATGAATGTTCTGGGAGTGATTTGGATGGTGATTTGTACTTTGTTTGCTGGGATCCGGAGCTGAATTGTATTCGACCCGTTAAACCTATGAGCTACAAGCCTGCACCAACTATCCAGTTGGATCATGATGTCACAATTGAGGTATGGTTTTTGGAAGTATTTACTTCTATTGCAAACACATTATCACGTGTTTGTTCTCTGTCTTTTGGTTCACTTAAAGACACTTGTTCTTTGTTGCTAGAATTCATGTTACATGCATTATCTCATATCTCCTATGAAATGAAATTGTTTCTTATCAGGAAAAATAAAAAGTCATGTTACGTCCATAACTGCATATTAAGAATACTTTTCTTTGCTCCATGCGTGGCATGTGGTCTAAACATGATTATCTTTCCATGTAGTTTTTCCTGGTTCAAATGCAATTTGTTTGTCTCGCTCTATGTACTGAGCTTTATGTGAAAGTAATTGTGTTTTTTGCCACGAGGTGGGGTGGGAGAAAGGAAAGTTTGACATTTTTTCTAGATATTGGCTCAAATATGCCTGTATATTAGTAGATATTGTACTTTCATATGTATTTGGCTCATGATCCTCTCAATTGCAATTTTTTTTTTAAAAAGAACATATTTCTTTTTAATACCCAACTCCACGTGGAGAACGTTTGCCTCATAGTCAGGATTAGTGGCAAAGTTTCAGTGGTATTCTTCAGAAGTATCATTTAAAATATTTTGTGAGTCTATAAATGATGTTATTATTTTATATAAATAAGATATATTGTACCAGATTTTAAAGTTGATAACAGTTTGAATTATATACTATCATTTTGATACAGGAAGTGCAAGAATATATGGCCAACTACATGGTCAATGACGGTCTTGGAGCCATTGCAAATGCACACACTGTCTTTGCAGATAGGGAACCTAGGAAGGCAATGAGTGCTAAATGTATCAAACTCGCAAAACTGTTCTCAATTGCCGTTGACTTCCCGAAGACTGGTGTACCAGCAAACTTACCACCCTTTCTTCGTGTCCACGAGTTTCCAGATTTCATGGAGAAGCTCGATAGACCCGCCTACGAATCAAAGGGTGTCATCGGGAAGCTTTTTCGCAGTGTGAAAGATGTTTCTTTCAACACCAACACCATTGAAACCTACACTAGGGAAGTTGCTGCTAAATGCTATGATCCAGACATGGAAATAGATGGGTTTGAAAAGTATTTGAATGAAGCTTTTGATTTCAAAACCAGATATGATTACAAGTTGGGGAACCTGATGGATTATTATGGTATTAGGACTGAACCAGAATTAGTCAGCGGAAATATCTTAAGAGTGGGAAAGTCTTTCGATAAAAGGACCGACATGGAACAAATTAGCCATGCCATGAGGTCACTTAGAAAGGAAGCCAGGGCTTGGTTCAACGAGAAGGGAAGCAAGCCTAGATGTGACGATGATGACAACGGGGACGAGGACGAGGAATTCGCAAAAGCATCAGCGTGGTATCATGTCACATATCATCAAAGCTATTGGGGTCGCTATAACGAAGGCATGGAAAGAGATCACTTTCTGAGTTTCCCATGGTGTGTTTCTGATAAGCTAATTCAGATTAAAAAGAAGAAGATTTGCCAGGAAAATTCTTCTCCAATTTAATCCTTGACACACAAATTGGGCAAGCTGAGTTTATACTAATTATGCGCTCTAATTTTCTCCAAATTTTAGAACTGCGATATAATATGTATGCATAAGTGTTGGTTTATATTATGTTGGTCTTGTAATTTTATGAAGTATTTTATTAGGGTTTGTAATGCCTAAGGTGATTGGGATGAAATGTTTCCTTGAGTTCTAAGGTGATTGTGATTTGTATGATCCTATTTAAGAAATAAATTTAGAGCTTTCTGTTTGAATTTTCATGGTTCGACAACCCTCTGAAGTCTAAACTGATCAGGCTATTTTTTTATTTTTTTTTTCAATTCCGTTGATTTATTTCCATCTTTTTCATTTTTTCTATTCGATTTCACTGTTTTTTATTATTTTTAAGTTCAAATTCTCTTCCATTCCATGTGGTGTTCTTCATTATTCACAAGACACTTTTGACTGATCAAACCTAATGTTTAAAAATATAAAAATAAAATTAAAAAGTAATAAAATAATAAAAAATAAATTTAATAGGTATATTATTGTTGAGTTGGTCGGACGAAATTTGGGAGTACCGACCGACTTGTTGGCTCTCGACGGACTCTCTTCAAGTAAATACAACTTATTTAAAAAGAGTGAAATTACTTTTTACTTTTATAATATGTTAAAAAATAGCCATCGACATTTCATAAATTGAATCCTTAGCATTTTCATTGATATCGAGAATCTAGATGAATTTGTATATTAATATATACTAATAATCAATAACTAACATAGATGAATGTTCTTGTTCCAGTTCGGTTGTTAGTTGCACTACATCAAAATCTATAGTCATAACCGAAAAAAAAAAAGAATTTACAGAATTTTGAAACCCAAATTAACCACACTAATTATGAATCAACTTCAAGCTTAACCATGGCGAGCCACAGCCGAGAAGTTGAAATCTTCTCAGTTTCTTCAGCCTCATCAAATTCATCTTTTCTGAAACTCCATAGTTGGATGAAATCTCCACTCCTCAACGCAGTTTCTTCCACGAACGAATTCCACTGCGTCATCAAGCAGTACAAATCGCCGCTCCCGATCTTCCACTTCTTCAGACAAATCCTCCTCTCTTTCAGATCAGGATCGATAATCGGTACGTCCATTCCCTTCTTGTTGTTATTGTTACTGTGTTGATTCAGCAGTTTTCTCTCCTCCTCTGTCACGAAATCATGGATTCTAAGTTTCTTCGCCGGGAGAGACAACCGGCCGTGGTTCTTGTTCATATCTGTGTTCTGTAATTGTTTCTGAATCACCAATTGGATTCCGTAGCCGCCGATCTCCACGATCCGATCTCTCATCGCAGCCGGCATCTCCGGCGTCACCGGTAACTCCATCGCCTTTCGCTTCTTCTTCCTCTGTTTCATCTCCGGCTCCGATTTCGACACCGGATCCCGCTTCCTCTTTCTAGAGTTCTTTTCGAGTTCCGATTTGCAGAAGGCTTCGACGTCGGTCGCGGAGTAGGCCATTGCAAGAAGAACAGCAGCAGCCTCCACCATGGACATGGGAGCAGTCGCAGAGGAGGACGGTTTAGGCTTGTTGGTTTCACTTGTTTCAGCACTGCTACTGCTACTGCCAGTTCTTCTTCTTTGAGGAATGGAGATTCCATTGGTCAAATCTGAAAAACAAATCCCCATTTTAAGGGCTTCCAGTTCCACCACTGTTCCCATTCCCATGTTTTCTTCACCAGAAATAATAACCCGCCGCAGATTGCAAAACAGAGAACGAATTTCAAATTCGTACCTCAAGAAAACAGAGGTGATTGTGAATCAGAAGAAATGCATAGGGTTTGGATTGGCGAAAAAGGAATCGAAACAATTTGAGAGGATCGACGAGGGATGAAGAAATTTAAACAAGGAAAAGATTTTTGGCGGGGAGAAGTTGGTTCGGTTAGCAGTGGGGAAGAATTAAATTCCTTATTGGTGTGGAATATAATTTGATTAAGGAAACAAATCTTGTTCTTCGTTGAGAGCCATCGTCTTCAAGAATCAAAATCTTCGGCGTCCGATAACCTCACTGATCTCTGAAAGATCTTTCCATAAGTATTCAGTTTCAAACGGTCGAAAACAGAGCAAATAATCTTTCAATCTTTTTCCTTCCATTTATTTCTTAAACAAACCCGTTTTTAATTTACTGCCACTTTCCTTGTCTGAACTCAACTGGCACTGGCACTCACTTTTTTTTTTTTTAATAAAAGGTTTATTTTAGTAGTTTCGAAACATTCATTCTGGTGATTATGTAGCTTCTTATGTTTTTTATTTTTATTTCATTTATTTTAATTAAAATGTAGCATGACAATTTACTTACTAATTTTTTTAGTAATGTAAGCGTAAATTTATATTAAATAATTTAAATTCGCAAATACATGGAGACTAAAACGAATTAAAGTTGAAAGTATAAGGATCGAAATAGTATTTAAATCTATTAATAAATTATATTTCAAAATTTATTTAAACTATTCTTGCAGTTTTTATTCATTAATTTTAGAATGACGATGTCAGAACAAAATGCCTTGAGAAGTAAGATGCATCGACCGCTAAACTAGGTTCGTGTTGACTTTTTTATAATTCTTAATAATAAATACTTATTTTTAATTCTTAATAACAAATACTTTCTAACTTTTGAATGTCACGTAACTTTGATGTAGAAATTTTATATGACAAGATATTTTTATAATGAAAAAATAATTTCAAGAAAAAAGGGTAAACATAAAAACAACGTTATGGTGTGATTATTTCCTAAATCATCTATTTACATATGAATCATTTTATCTTTAGTATATGAACTAAGAAAAATAAAGAATATAAATGCAAAAGGCATACCAACTTCTGAATAAAGTTACCAAATTGGTCACAAGTGAAATGGTAACTTTGCACATAAAAACTCACCGAACTTTGATGAAAATCCATGTCCACAGCTGCATTCACTAGAAGCTAACAAGTAAAATTGAGAGAAAAAATTCATTGATGATACAACGATGTCTTCTCAAATCTATAAGATTTAGTCAAAAATATTTTAAGAGCTATTTGTTGTACACAACGGCATATGAATTGAAGGGAGAAACCTTTCAGAAAAAGAAGAAAGAATCGAAAAAACGACAATAATTGTCGATCGCAGGCTAGCAACTAACTAATGATCTCATCACTTCCCTATTTTCCAAGGCTGAAAGGCATTGCAGAAAAGAATATGCAATCAGTTTTTCCACAGAGAGATTGAAATCCATCTTTGGTAGAGTTACGTGTGATGAACAAAATGCAAGCGGCTTGAATCTTGGAGAAATGGTATCCTCATTTCCAGGCAACCGAGTCGATTTCGTCTCTAGCTGACTTGTATAGCTCAAGCCTTTTAGCTATGGTTGTTCTTCTCTCCATCAGTGCAGGATCCTCATCCAACATAGCACCAAGCCGTTCCTTCTGCAATGATGCAATGGCAGGTCGTACAAAACTTTTCAGTGCAGCAAAAGGATGGATTTTCATTCATTTTAAAATGAGAGAATGAAGATCGCCTTCTATCCGGGGTAAATCAGGAATGCGAAACTAATGCATAAAACTCGCTTCCAACTTATTATTGACATTGTTAAGAAAAACTTACCTCTCTTTTTCCGACTTGAACATAGAAGTGGTTCAGTAGTGATCTCTTGGCCTCTCGGACTTGACAGTAAACGACAGCCTTCGGAATTGAATTTTTCAGTGTCTCACAAACCATCCCAATGTAAGAACTCACATTTGAACCTAAAACAATTGACAAACTCGGTTATCGTACTGGTTTGGTGGTTTAGTTTACTCAACTAAGGACTTCAGTGTTAGGATAAATGAACCGTTCTATACATCCATACATCCATACATCCATATGTGCATCTGTGTATGTATATAATACAAAAATCTGGAGTGCCAAATAATGTTTGTGCACATACAAGCAAGCAGAAACCATACCAATCCTTCTGAAATGATTGTCTGAATAACGGTCTGCATTCGGCCCTGCTGGGGTAGGATTAGGATTTTTGTCTGGCTCCATATGCAGTTTTCGGAAAAAATCAACTGTAAGGTAGCTAGACTCCATATCAACCAGCCGTAGAACTGTTTTTCGACTTTCTTCACGGAACCTCTCCAATGCCTCTGTTGCCGCTGCTGCAATGTCAGATTGAAGTGTCGGAAATCTTTTCAGTTCCTAAAATTTGTGTGAATCAAAAGTAAACTCTGTTAAATTAGAACAAGTTTCCACATGACCTGTAACAAAGCATTGTATTAATAAATGTGAAATTCCAAAAATTCTCTCACGAGTGAATTTGTTAATGGCATGTTGCCATATAGACATGTCATGGGAACAAGTTTCCCTCCTCTCCAAAGCACTTTTCATAGTACGTCCAAATTCCCATGTTCATTTTGCGTATTAGAAGAAAGGCAGAACTACATTTTTGCCACTCATATAAACAAACCCAACATCTTTATCCTCTAGGAGCAACTCAAGCAAGCCTCTTATTCTAAAATATAATAAGGATTTTTTTGTTATTTGTCATATGGTGAACCCAAATGAGCTGCGAATAGAAATTCAATTATTCACTAAGAGTAGCACTCTCAAGCAGAATTCCCTTAAACCCTATTCAAGAACACATGTTCGATTAAAAAGGTTTACCTCTGTTTCGGCTATAGATTTCCGAACAAGTTCTTTCAATACAAAATGCACCTGCACAGAAGTCGAAGACAATTACTTGCTCTGATCTTGAAACAAGCTAGGACAATAGGAAAAATGCTCCTTTTACAGAAGGACAAAATACTATACATGCATTTAAAAACGTGAATATAGAGTGCACACTTACACAAGAATGCATGTGCAAAGATGTTTCTAACATCAACTGCTTTTAGATTATTTATTTACCTATTTATCAAAACATTTTACCAGATAACTTCGTCATCCAAAAGAAGTGACATTGATATTTTTTTCATATTAAAAACAACAAACATTTCCTAGAAATTTAGGTCGAATTTAATAATATAAGCATGATATAAATCCCATAACATAGACTAACATTACTGTATGGGGATTGAATTAGAACATTACAGCATCAACAGAAGCTTCAGCCGGACCCTTGAAATAGCTGATTGAACCATCAATAAGCCTTCTGTATCCTTGTTCGGGAGCAATTAAATGAGGTTGGTAACCATCAGCTTCACTCACAACTTTTTGGACATTTTTTAAAGAAAGATGACGATCAAATGGTAATTTCTTCAGGGCAGCAGGTAGTTGATGATCAAAAACTCCATATATTCTATCTCCACCAGGCCGCCTATAGCACATTTATGATAGACCATGTAAATCTCATTATCAATTGGAAAAGGGAAGAAACATGTCCATTGAATAAAGAAATCGTGATGCAATTCAGGATGAATTATATTTCAATAACTTCAAAAACTTCTCGTGTTGCACATCTCGTAATTTTCCTTCTTTTATTATTATTATTATTATTTTTTTTTTTGACAAACGTGAATTCTATCCATTTTTAATATTTGGTAGGACAATTGTGACTTCACATTATCCCAAAGAGAGCAATCTAAAAATTAAAACAAAACAAAACAAGAAGCTCAAGATTTAAAAAAGATAACTATGCAAAAGAAGACTCCCCTTTCGGCCTCACAAGTATACTCCAAATGGTAAGAGTCTTGCAACATTGAAAAAGAAAAAAGAAACTTATCATATAGTAATGAAAAAAGTCAAAAGTATTTACATAACTAACACTAGTTCTTTGAAATAATATGCAAATCTACTATGATACCACATAACATTACCACTAAACTTGAGTTTTGGTATTGTCTACACCAAAATTCAAGAAGCTTAAGCTATTAATAATTCAGAGTAAATGTAAATTTTATCATTTAATATATTTTTAATGAGTTTCAAGTTATAAAATGATCTATTTTAGTGAGTATGAAACGAAGGTATCTCTCAAATTCTCAAACTCGTGAACAGTATAGCAATGGCCTTAAAAGATAAGGAATCCAAGAAAACAAAAAAAGGTGCAATTATTGAAGTTTTAAGCCTTCCAATGACAATGTAATGAAAATTTCAGGAAACTAAGAGGGAATATTCCTAAAGAGGATTTATAATTCTACTTTCTCTAGCATAAATTCATGCCAGGGAAGGAACTCTGGCAGCATAGTGCTTTAACCATCCTCAAAAGAATGTTCACTATGTTATGGAAAGTACTAATATTTACAGCATGATCGTATTAAGAAGTTTCTAGCATAATATGCTCTAATCCAGATTAGAAATGCTAAAAAAATGTCACAACATTACCCTCCATCCAGATGTTCCTTGAATACACGGTCAAATGCACGACACATTTCTAAAATAGTGTACAGTTGTGCCTGCATAAGAAAAAAATGAACGGAGGGTTGTGACAGATACAGTATTCGGTAAATTGGAATATGGTATCCACAGGGGCTAATACATTACCCCTGAGTCTACTGCTATAGGTCTGCCAATCCGGTCCAACTCTGCATTCAGTTCGTCAATTGTCTTATTAATCAAGGCAATGATACTTGGTATCCGCTGCCTGATAACCCTCTCCAAGTGCTGAAAAACAAGAACAGAACATATGAAAACACAATTAGCTGCACCAAACTGCTGGAACATTCTCAATTGTGACAACTAAAGTATAGATAGGGTTAACAAGAACCAAGATAGATATTAAAAAAATTGGAATAAAGACCTGAGACAAAAGTTTGGCAAGGTATTCTGAACCCATCTTATGGGCTAGATGTCCATACTCGGGGCTTGTTTCAAAATATTCACGCTCCTTTTTACGAGCAATAATCATGTCAACGTTCTTATTAATATCAGCTTGTGAACGATTTACAATCCCAACCCATGGATGCTGCAACCTATATGCTCTTCCTTCAAGAACCTGCAACATTCATTTTTAGAAACTTTTAGGTTTTTACACATTTTTACTGCCTGGTAAAGCATGGTAACAAATCAAAAAACAATTAGGAGGACGAAAAATTTATAACAATCAAATACATTAAAAAGAAAAATTGACAAATAATGCATGCTCCTAATCTAATGCAATTTTATAAATAAAAGAAAATTGTCATACAGAATGTGAAATGCGGATTGAGTTTTACACATTACCAGAATCTGCTTATTCTTGTTATATTGTCACTTAATA